TATTTCTATTTGAGCAAAATGAACTAATGGTTCGCTGGAGTTTTTGACAATTAAAATTGCGCCCACATTTTCAAAGTTAAACACATTTCTTTTAACAACGGTAGTTTCTGCTTCAGCCCTCTCCCCCCTCCCCCTGCACAGCGGCCGCAAACTCACTGATGCGCCTGCAGCCTCTCGGAGTTCCTGCTGCTCTAAACATTAAAATAATTATGTAACGTGAGGAAATATGGGTTTTCTGTGCCAAAGGTCATTTGACTCGGCTGGGTCAAGTGCTGGGTCGCTGAGAACTTTCACCCACAAATTGAGACCTTTGCAGACATGAAGTCTGCAAGAGTCTGCTGGAAACCGTAACATCTGCCACCTGCAGGGCCAGAAGATGTGTTCTCATGGAAAAGTAGTCATAACATAACAAACTTTCTTCCCTTTATTTTAAGTTGTTAAATGATCAGTATTATCACTTTGCTCATTATAAATGTGTTTTAATCAAATGAATGATTATTATGCTTTGGGTAATCATAATAACTAATGAATCACTGCTTAATTAAATAATGTTCTGAGGATGTTTTAGTGGTGACCTTCAAACACTCACACATACACATCTGCTCTCACGGTAAACTCCAAAACACATTTGCTGACGCACACGTTTTGCTTTGAGAAGAGAAAGGCTTTTGGTAAGTTTTTCAGTTCATGATTCAGTTCGTGCTTGACAACGAAAGAGAGAAGACCTGAATAAACGCTAAAGGGGGGACGGAGCCTATCGGCTCATCCCCCCCCCCCCCCCGTTATTCCTGCCAGACAGGAATAGCAGAATTGCAACAACTAACGCGGACTCGCCTCGAGTCCTTTGATTTCTGAGTGAACTAAACTTAAGAAAGCGCATCTGAAAACGCTTTACCATCAACGTGTACCGAGGACAACTCTGGACCGGTTCGTGGCGCATCTTTGTCTTCTTTGCCAGCCAAGGTGCCCTGGATGAAACATCATCCTAAGGTGACTTCCCGGGTCCAACAGAGGGTCCGAATACGGTGAGGCATTCCACGACAGATAGCGTTTTGATACATCTTTTCCAACAAAACCTAAGTTTATTCAAACCATCACTTTTCACTCAGACACCTGTTTCTTCCTGAAGCAAAATCAGATGCACACACGCACTCAGCTCACCTCATGTTCAGTCTTCACACATTCACCACAAGGTCTATTTGAGCAAGCTTACAATATCAACTGTTAAAGATTGTTCAACAAAGTTGCCAATGTTGATTGATGTTCCTCTGCTTGTGATTTCAAAATCATTAGTTTAATTTGAAGAATTAAAACTTTTAACTTTCAAACTTGTTTCTTCATTGAACTGAAACACAGACACACGGATATTATCGTCAGTTTATCGATGAAAACAACCTTTGAGTCTTCTTAAAACTATACAATTTGGTTATTAATATAATAAAATTAATATCACAAATTAATATGTAGAATGGTTCCTCTTTCATAAAAGAGCATAAACCACAACGCTACAATTATTTTATTTTCTGTTCCTCACTTCTGATGACCTTCAATGGTGTCTGTTTGTTGCAACCACCAGGTACAAAAACTAACTTGTTTTTATTTGACTATTTTTCTGTCCTGCCTGTTTATTATCTTCCTGCATCTCCTCTCAATCCTAAAGAAAAACTGCTACCTGCCTTCATATATATTCACCTCATGAGTTACCTTTGAGCTGCAGTTCTAAAAGATCTACCGACCACAAAAACAGCGGAGTGCTTGCTGCTTGCCGGCCACATCAGAGATCGGTGCGTCGGAGGACAAGGTTATGTGCCCCGCTCCACAGCAGCGAAACGCATCAGGCGCAAATAAAAGACAGAAAACATCAAAGGAAATGAACCGACATGAACGATCGCGTGTTAAATAAATTTTTGAGGTGGCGACGCCTGATTGTTACTGTGGCCGTGCTCAGGAGGCAGATCTACAGACTGCAAAAACAGCGGAGCGCTCCCTGCTTGGCGGCCGCATCAGTGATCGGTGCGTCACCGGAGGACAAGGTGATGCGCCCCGCTCCACAGCAGCGAAACACATCAGGCGCAGATAAAAGACAGAAAACATTAAAGGAAATGAACCGACATGAACGATCGCGTGTTAAATAAATTTTTGAGGTGGCGACGCCTGATTGTTACTGTGGCCGTGCTCAGGAGGCAGATCTACAGACTGCAAAAACAGCGGAGCGCTCCCTGCTTGGCGGCCGCATCAGTGATCGGTGCGTCACCGGAGGACAAGGTGATGCGCCCCGCTCCACAGCAGCGAAACACATCAGGCGCAGATAAAAGACAGAAAACATTAAAGGAAATGAACCGACATGAACGATCGCGTGTTAAATAAATTTTTGAGGTGGCGACGCCTGATTGTTACTGTGGCCGTGCTCAGGAGGCAGATCTACAGACTGCAAAAACAGCGGAGCGCTCCCTGCTTGGCGGCCGCATCAGTGATCGGTGCGTCACCGGAGGACAAGGTGATGCGCCCCGCTCCACAGCAGCGAAACACATCAGGCGCAGATAAAAGACAGAAAACATTAAAGGAAATTAACCGACATGAACGATCGCGTGTCAGTACCGACGCTCTGGTACAGCGCGTTCCCCCCCCCCCCCCCCCCCCCCCCCCCCCGAGCGCAGGAGCTTGTCACCTGCTGACAGCAGGCTGCTGTCTTTTCCGAGGGCTGCATCTTGCCGGTCATTATAATGTGACAGCGACTAGTCGATGACAGGCATAAAAAGTCACTATAGTGAAGTCGACTAGTTCATACAACCCCTGCTACTGCTCCCCAGAGTGTTCTGCAGCATAATCAGCACGTTCTCTTTGAACTTGATATCAAATTTTCGCCTCCTCTTCGTCTCCGCACGGTTAAAGTTACCCTCGCGGTCTATCACTGGCAAATCAAAAGTGAGACGATGACACAACCGCCCCCCGTACTTGCTTGTTACCACATTCCACCCGGCCACAATAAGAGACCGGCCATTATTCACCTCCACCGACTCCGACACCGGCCAAAATTAGAGACCCAGCCTTTAATTGAATACCGGCCTGCATTAGAGGATTTACGGTAAGTACTTTTTTTTTTGCTGAGCTAAAGTACGGTTTTAGTAAGGATTCCACACAATGTTAGATAAATGAGACCCCTGAACCTTAAGATTCCTTATCCAGCATGTGTTAGTTTCATGCTCCAACAGCTGATTCATTAGATGAAGCACCTATTCAGCAGGTTTTCAGGGTTTGCTGAAGTCTGTTACTCATCACTGATTAAAACCTGGTGGTTTGTACCGGTCTGTCATGGTGAAGAGAGAGCTGAGTCAGAAGGCAAAGCTCTCGATTTACCAATCGATCTACGTTCCTACCCTCACCTAATGTCATGAGCTTTAGGCAGTGACTGAAAGAACAAGATCACATACAAGCGGCCAAAATGAGTTTTCTTTGCTGGGTAGCTGGGCTCTCCCGTAGAGATAGGGTGCAAAGCTTGATTATTCAGGAGGGGCTCTGAGTAGATCCGCTGCTCCTCCATATTGAGAGGTGCCAGTTGAGGTGGCTCAGGCATCTGATTAGGATGCCTCCTGGACGTCTCCCTGGTGATGAGGTTTTCTGGGCACATCCAACTGGGAGGAGACCTAAAAGAAGACCCAGGACACGCTAGAGGGACTATGTCTCTCGTCTGGCCAGGGAACGACTTGGGATTTCCCTGGAAGAGCTGGCTCAAGTGGATGGGGAGAGGGAAGTCTGGGCTTCTCGACTTAGGCTTCTGCCCCCACGACCCAACTTCGGATAAACGGAAGACAATGGATGGATGGATGGGTAGCTGTCCCCCGTTTTCTGTGATATCTAATCTAGCATTTTGTGGAAGTAAAACAAAAATCTAATTATTGCACAAATCTTTCCGCAAACGTATTCTACTGGAAATATGCAGATAAATTAATCAGGTTGCAGCACAGATCCCTGTGTCTACTGTAAGCGGCTGAAGCTGGAGAGGGGATGAAGACACTCTTCTAAAGAAGACGGGGTGACGTTGGTTATTCAGACCTACTTTCAGGAAAACATCCTCAGTAAAATAGTCTGGGCGACTGTAAAGTCCCATCTGCGTTAACAGCTAGTTAACACAAATTTAATGCCGTTTGTTTATTAACACATGATGAACACAGGCTTCCAAACATCAGGCATCTCCTGTGATTTAGTTTCAACACATTTTCCTCAACTGTTTTAGCTGAGTGTCCCATTAGCAATTAAACTCTAGCTCTCTCTGTGTGTGTTGCACACAGCCGTCAGACCCATACAGCTGATCCAGATCAGGATTGGCAATAAAAATGATTCAATAAATAAGGAACGCAAGAAGAAATGTATTATTTTTATATTGACATTTTTTTTGTTGCAGTTCAAACTATTTAGATTTTTGTGTTTTCATCTAATTTAGCTTGCATTTAATTTAAAACATCTTCAACTTTATGAATTTTTTGAGAATTTTTTTTTTGCATTATTTGGGAAAACAATCATTGCACATCAATTACTTGAAAGGTTTTGTATTAAATGTCACTTAAAGAACAATACATGTTATTTAAAGGTTATTCTAGTTTTTGGAAGTATTTGTTCATTGTGCACAAAAAGTTATGTTACTGATCCATTCTAATAAAATGTCGAATCATTCACACAAAGTAGATTTGTTATTCATTATCTGATTATTAAAAAACTAAATTGTTTAGTTAGAATTTCAGAACGTCACTTTTTTCCTTGTGATTTTTTGATAACATTGATGTATTGAAATTCAGAGAAACTTGTGAAACCAGTTCATATGTAAGCATAGCATTTTAACATAGTAAGCATATTCACACATGGAAAGTATCACCATGAATAAATTGTGTGGCAGTGGCTCCCCTGCTAGGGGCCTTGAGGAGCAGAGACAGCTCTGTTTAAGTGAGCACAAGCCTGAATGAACATGCTGTAGAACATTGCAAATCATGGATATGTGGGCTTACCCTCAGAGCAGTCCTCCCCTACGAAGCCCTCGTCACAGTCACACACTCCATTCTCACAGCGCCCCTGGTTATGGCAGTCTCCTGGGCAGGGTATAACGGAGCAATCCAGCCCTGTAAAACCCTCGTAACACATGCAGCTGCCATCAATACAATGGCCTCTGTCCAGACAGTTGTTGGGACATGTCTTCTCACTGCAGTCCTCTCCGGTGAAACCTTTATGACAAACACATTGGCCATTGACACAGTGACCCTGATCCAGGCAGTCATTGGGACAGGTAAGCTCGGCACAGTCTTTTCCTGTGAAGCCCACAAAGCACACACACTTTCCATCCAGACACTCTCCTCTTCCTAAGCAGTCTCTAGGGCAGGTCTTGGTACTGCAGTCTTCTCCAGTGAATCCTTTGTCACATATGCACTGTCCACTGACACAGCGGCCCTGGTCTTGGCAATTGTTAAGACAGGAAAGCTCACTGCAATCTTCACCTTGGTATCCTATGTCACACACACACTCTCCATTAATGCACTGACCCCTGTTGCTGCAGTTGTCAAGGCACAAGAGGATTGAGCAGTCTTCACCTCCAAACCCAGGGTCACAGATGCATTTCCCATTGAAGCAATGACCTCTCTCGTTGCAACTTTTGGGGCACATGAGCTTGGAGCAGTCCACTCCACTGTAACCACTGTGACACACACAATGGCCTTTCACACACATGCCTTGGTTATTACAGCCGTCAGGGCAGCTGAGCTCACCACAGTCTTCTCCAGTAAAGCCTTCTTCACAGTAGCAGGTACCATTAACACAGCGCCCTCGGTCATAGCAGTCGTTAGGACAGATGAGCTCAGAGCAGTCAAATCCTGTCCATGGCTCATCACAAATACACTCATCTTCCACACATTGTCCTCGACCAAGACAGTTGTTTGGGCAGTTGGTCTGGGAACAGTCCTCACCAATGAAGCCATCCTCACAGAGACAAGACCCTTCAACACATTGACCGTAGTCACCACAGTCCACTAAGCAGACCTCAATACTACAGTCATCCCCAACAAAGCCCTCGAAACATTCACACCTGCCCTCCACGCATCGACCCTGGTCCTGACACTCATTGGAGCACTCAGGTTCTGTGCAGTTGGGGCCTTTCCATCCTGGTTCACATGAGCAGCTGCAGGTCTCACTACTCCAGTTTCCACGTCCATTACAGTAGGGCCTTGTAGACACTTCCCCTACAGGAAGGCAAGAAATAAAAAGGAAATTTAAATGCAATTAATTTCAGGTTTTTATAGCTATAAAGACATTGTGGAATTGAAAAAAAAACAACTAAAAATAATGTGAGCCATTGTGTGTGTGTGTGTGTGTGTGTGTGTGTGTGTGTGTGTGTGTGTGTGTGTGTGTGTGTGTGTGTGTGTGTGTGTGTGTGTGTGTGTGTGTGTGTGTGTGTGTGTGTGTGTGTGTGTGTGTGACTATATATACTGAGGTTGTAATTCTGTCTGTGTCTGTCATCTCCGATCTGCTGTTTTGTACATTCTTGATTTGAAGTAGTGGATGACCCCCTTGAAAACGAGATGTTTTATCTCAAGGGGTTAATCCTCCTTATATGTTAATAAAATGAAGTGGTTTTCTTGTATTTGTCTGAAAACCTCAGCCAATAACATGACTCGGTCTGAAACCAGCGATTGGACAATGTGGTTGTCTGCCTTACTGAATCGTGGCACTTTCCTGGGGCCTCCCCTCATACACACTCACCACTGGTGTGAGAGATTCTCCTCTTAATAATGTCAGAGAAGGAGAAACAGCCGACTGCTACCACTTCTACTTTAGGACAAACTACCTGAGTCCCAAAAAAGAAAACACCATTTGAAGTCACGGACAACCAGAAGCGTCTGGACCTAAAAATGTCGACTGGTGTTTAGCGCTCTCTCGTTTCCTCTGGCAACATTACATGAACAGTGAACCCTACTCGGTTTAATGACAGCCTTCACAGCCTTATGCGCCAGAGCAGATGAATTGAGCATTTGTGGGAGAAAACCTGTCTCGATGTCCATCTGTTGCATCTAAAGGATCTTCTCACCTCCGTGAACTCTAATCAGAACTCCAACACGGAGACACTGCTGCATGCTTTCATCACCAGTAGAATTGATTATTGTAATGCCCTGCTTTGTGGTCTTCCCAAAAAGAGTACCTAAGGTTTACAACTTCTCCAAAATTCAGCAGCACTTGTCCTGACGAAGACCAGTAGGCAGGAGCACATTACACCACTCATTAACAAGCTGCATTGGCTCCCTGTACGTTTTAGGGTCGATTTTAAAGTTTCTGTAATTGTTTTAAAATATCATAATGGTCTTGGGTCTTCATATCTGTCAGAACTGCTTCTCCCATACGAGCTATCACCGTCTCTGTGCTCCTCTGGCAGCCATATCCTCATAATTCCAAAAGTCTAGACACTCTCTCAAGGCGAGGCATCCTTCCAGTTTTATGGTCCTCCTCTCTGGAACGGACTGCCAGACGACTTCAGGGCTGCAGGAGAATGTTCATGTTTTTAAGGCCATGCTCAAGACCCACTTTTATAGCTTTTAGCTGACTCACCTTTTTAGTATAGCTTTTAGCTGACTCACCTATTTAGTCTAGCTTTTAGCTGGCTCACCTTTTTAGTCTAGCTTTTAGCTGGCTCGTGTTTTTATTCTAGCTTTTAGCTGACTCACCTTTTAATATAGCTTTAAGCTGACTCACCTTTTAGTCTAGCTTTTAGCTGACTCGCCTTTTTAGTCTAGTTTTTAGCGGACTCATCTTTTTAGTCTAGCTTTTAGCGGACTCACATTTTTAGTCTAGCTTTTAGCTGACTCACATTTTTAGTCTAGCTTTTAGCTGACTCACCATTTATAATATAGTTTTTAGCTGACTCACCTTTTTAGTCTAGCTTTTAGCGGACTCACCTTTTTGTTTAGCTTTTAGCTGACTCACCTTTTTAGTCTAGCTTTTAGCTGACTCACCTTTTTAATATAGTTTTTAATTGGCTCACCTTTTCAGTCTAGCTTTTAGCTGACTCACCTTTTAATATAGTTTTTAGCTGACTCACCTTTTCAGTCTAGCTTTTAGCTGACTCGCCTTTTTAGTCTAGCTTTTAACTGACTCACCTTTTTAGTCTAGCTTTTAGCTGACTCACCTTTTTAGTCTAGCCTTAAGCTGACTCACCTTTTTAGTCTATTTTTTAGCTGACTCACCTTTTAATATAGTTTTTAGCTGACTGACCTTTTTAGTCTAGCTTTTAGCTGACTCACCTTTTTTTAGTCTAGCTTTTAGCTCACTCACCTTTTTAATATAGTTTTTAGCTGACTGACCCTTTTAGCCTAGCTTTTAGCTGACTCAGGTTTTAGTCTAGCTTTTAGCTGACTCACCTTTTTAGTCTAGCTTTTAGCTGACTCATGTTTTAGTCTAGCTTTTAGCTGACTCACCTTTTTAGTCTAGCTTTTAGCTGACTCACCTTTTAGTCTAGCTTTAAGCTGACTCGCCTTTTTAATATAACTTTTAACTGAAATTTATCTATTATAGCCTGTATTTAAAGTTAAAGTTAAAGTCCCATTAGTTGTCACACACACTGATGTGTGTGCGAAATTTGTTCTCCGCATTTGACCCATCCCCTGGGGGAGCGGTGAGCTGCAGACACAGCCGCGCTCGGGAACCATTTGGTGGTTTAACCCCCCAATCCAACCCCCTTAATGCTGAGTGTCAAGCAGGGAGGCATTGGGTCCCATTTTTTCAAAGTCTTTGGTATGACCCGACCAGGAATCGAACCCTGATATCCCAGTCTCAGGGCGGACACTCTACCACTAGGCCACTGAGCTGGTATTTGAACTATCTTTCATATGCTTTATCAGTGTTTTATTACTTAGTCATCTCCTGAATTATATCTTTTTTCTTTTATATTAATTTTAACCAATTTTAACCTGTCTTATTTCTTTATATTACTATATATATATATATATATATATATATATATATATATATATATATATAATTGTATGTTTATACCCGATTATGTCTTATCAGTGGGATTTACTTTTAACTATCCAGTGTTTATGCTTAATTTGACCTTATATCTATCTATCTATCTATCTATCTATCTATCTATCTATCTATCTATCTATCTATCTATCATCTATCTATCTATCTATCTATCTATCTATCTATCTATCTATCTATCTATCTATCTATCTATCTATCTATCTATCTATTGGTGATCTTCTTAGTCCCTACACCCCCAGCAGGTCCCTGAGGTCCAGTGATCAAAGCCTACTGGTTGTGCAGCACCAGGCTAAAGACCAAAGGTGACAGATCATCTGCTGCTGTGGCCCCCAGACTCTGGAACTCTCTCCCCCTGAGCCTGAGATCAGTGGACTCAGTGGTCTCCTTTAAAAAGCAGCTGAAGACTCACCTGTTCAGGCTGGCTTTGTTGTGACCTTCATGACTACCTTCTCATAACAATGCTGTCTTTCCCAGGATCCTGTATTACATTTTCTTATTCATTTTCTTCCTTCTCATTTTTTAAAATTAAAAATTTCCATTCTCCCCATTTTTTATTACAGTATATTTTTAATCATTTGCATGTTTTTAATCTTTTTTTTTTTTGTTCTTGTGAAGCACCTCATGATTTTAATCTTGAGAGGCACAAGAAATATGTTTCTTCTCCTTCGTCTATGCTGTGAACTGTTATCAACGTCTTTAATAATAAAACAAAAGCTGGCAAATAATGCAACAAAGGTTTAATTTTCAAATAAACCTCATGCACCTCGCTGAAGCACATCTCACTTCCTGTCTAGGTCATGTAATTTCTTTAACTTCATGACAATCCATATGCGGCATCTGAAAAACAAAATTCAAGCTGAAACTTTCTGGAGCTCCGCATCTGGATCTGCACCACACCACAGCCAGAGTCAATGCTGGGATTTTTGTCTGCAGCTACTCAACAGATCATTTCTGATCACAGGATAAAAACTATTCATGAAACTCAAATCCTGGATTGTGCAATTTTGGTCTGAGCTGTTATATTGACTAAGGTTTTTAGTCAAATGCAAAAGAACCACTTTTTTCTGTTTTTTCTTAATCTGCACTAAATAGTTGTAGCTTACTATGTTTGGACTTGTTTAGCAGGTTTGCCATTCTAGCTTTAAGCCCTCTAGTGCAGAAAGGTTTTACCAATATTTCATATTTGGACTCACAACATGTAAAAAACAAAGAATATTCCATGCCAAATATGTCCTGCACATGACACAGGTGAATCGAGTGTACAGGTGTGGGACCTTTGTTTAATCATTACATTTGATGCGGTCTGTAGTAGGAATGAATACAGTGCACGTCGTTCTTGGAGGAGAAAACTTATACAGGTGCACCATTTCTCAGACCAAAAAGTTTCCCACATCACAGCTGAGCTTCAGATGACATGTTCTGATTTCCTGATATTTGGACATCTCACCCCTGATTGAATAACAGCAGCATAATTCTACTACTAATTTGCATTGTTGATCCATGCTTTCGTTCTTTTTAAACACAGAAACAGTTTTGTTTACCTGTTTTGTAGCTACAGTTTCGCCGACGGCTGCCGGCTTCTTCAGGCTGACGCTGGCAGCCGTCGGCGAAACTGTAGCTACAAAACAGGTAAACAAAACTGTTTCTGTGTTTAAAAAGAACGAAAGCATGGATTTAGAAAGACACAGCAAGAACACACCTAGGTTGCATTGTTGATGTTTTATCTCCACAAATAACACAAGCCTGAAGGACCTGTGTGGTGAAATTTAGCCTAAACTACCTGACATGTTCTCTGCTGTTTCCTGGACGCTAAACCAACAACAGCCTTCCCTGTCATGAGTCAAGATGGATGAGTCTATGAAAGTTAAGTGACAGTGTGACGTATATCTGTCAGGATTTTCTAATCCTAATCTATTTTCTATCGGAAGCTAATGCAGGAGATAGATGTAGGAGACTATTTTCATGTTCAGCCTGCATGAAAGACTCTGAGTGATAACAGAAAAAACATTTGTTAAAAGTGTTTTTCAGTGAACCACACCTTTCAACCCTTTGTGTGTGTGTGTGTGTGGGGGGGGGGGGGGGTGTAAATTAAACTGTTGCTGCTTTTAAGTCTCATTTGAAGACACGCCTATTATTTATTCTTCCTTCAAGAGTGTGTAGTGACCCGTGACCTTTTAACATTTTGTCTGTTTTATTGTTATAGTTTATCATTTATGTTTATGTATTTAAGAGTGCAGCACCTTGGTCAATCCTCGCCTTTGTTTTAAAGTGGTATAATAAAGGTGCTATGCTATGCTGTGCTATGCTAGCTGGACTCAAGGGCATGAGGGTCTGTCCATCAACCTTTCTCCCTCTTCTCACCGCAGTGTGTTTAAATGTTTTCAGGACCATTTTATTGACCGCTCTTTGGTTGTTGAGATAGAAAGATGTTGATTGATTGATTGATTGATTGATTGATTGATTGGTACAAATAGACAGGTCACCTGTAACCTGAGCTCCACAGCAGGCGGCTCCACCGTTGCACTGCTCTCTTAAAGCAGAAAGTTCTGACTCTAACATCTCCAGTCGGTTTAGGATGTGCTTCAGGTCTGGCTGCTGGTTGTCACAGCGGCATGCTTGTTTGGGGATGTTGATACGATGAGTGAAAACGATCTGATTTTCTGCATCCAGCGTATGCTCCATGTGCTCTCTGTTTGCCATATCCATTGCAGAACTCTCCGTTTTGAGCTTAGTTCCACCCGGTGAGTCAAGGTCCACGGAGCACAGCGACGTGTCGGGAACGTTGATGTTGTAGACATGATTAAACACCACTGGCTGGTCAGGATGTGGCAGAGTGAGGTTCTCCTGGGTTTTCTTGGGCATCAGGGCGTCTCTTTTATGGCGAATGACATTGATCAGACCAGCCAGGGAGAGATGGAGCAGTAGAGCCATGGTAATGCAGCTCAGGAGGAATTCTTTGGTCCTCATGGTGATCCCTTCACTCTGCAGCCTCTGATCATGCGGTCCTTTCAGTCCTGATAAGACAGAAAAACAGAAGGATGTGAGCAGAGTTATTAAATATGAAATCCCACCATTTCCAACTCAATCTCTCAAAATCTGAATTACTTGTGATCAGTGACAACATCCCTACGGCACAATATCTCAATCCAAAATGATTCCCTACCGCTGACTCCTTCAAGGGCAGTTTGGAACTTGGGTGTTGTGATTGATGAACACCTGACCTTTAAAGATCATGTTGCCTCTGTTGCCCGTTCATGCCGCTTTGCGCTGTACAACATATGAAAGATCAGACCACACCTAACACAACATGCCACCCAGCTCCTGGTGCAATCCACTATCGTCTCCCGCCTCGACTACTGCAATGCTCTTCTAACTGGTCTTCCAGCCTGTAATGTGAGACCTCTTCAAATGGTCCAGAGTGCAGCGGCACGTCTGGTCTTCAATCAGCCTAAAAGAGCACACGTCACCCCTCTGTTCACTGAACTTCATTGGCTACCGCTAGCTGCACGCATCAAATTCAAATCACTAGCAATAGCACACAGATGGTACGGCTCCCATCTACCTGAATCCTCTCGTGAAGGCTTACGTCACGGCCCGGCCACTCCGGTCATCAAGGATCATCGGCTACACCACGCTCAGGACAATCCAGACTCTTTTCAGGTGTCGTTCCACTGATGTAGAATGACTTAGCACTACCAGAACAGGGGCACCCTTGTCCATTTTCAAGAAACTCTTGAAGACCCAGCTCTTCAGAGAGCATCTTCTAAACTGGCACCCTCCCAGCACCCGTCCCCCCTCTCTACTGTCCACTCCATGTTCACTTCCCTCTATAATAGATCATGCTGCCTCACTGCCACCTAGGATTGACTGAACCGTGTTTGTTGTTAGCCTCAAGGGCAACCTGCTGCTAAATACATAAACATAAATAAACCATTCAGTCTCTGAATTCATCATGTCCACCTGTCTATTTCTGTAAAAATCCCTTTACAGAAAGACATTCGCAGTTGCCTTATTTTTCTAGTTTGACACTTTGTGTCCACACTTTTGTGTACACACCCACGTGTCAGTGTGTCAGCTGGCCTGGGACACACTGATCAAAGCGAGGCTGCTGTAATCGGGCACCGCTGGCCTTTCAGACCACTGACAGCAGGCAAGGCGGTTTAGGTGTGTTGCCCACGGACACAACGACTGCGACTGGCTGAGCGGGACTCAATCTCAAAACCATCTGGCAATGTAGTTAACTCCTTTGCTCCTTCATCCCATTACTAACCTATGAAGCTACAAATATAAAAAACTACAAACCTATCAACCTTTCTAAGTAAACACGACCTTACTTACAAACTTATTCATCTGAACCACCACAAACTTCTCAACTTCTCAACTCAACAAGCAATAAACCTTCCAATCTGAGCAGCCAAAAACCTAGTGGCCATCAAACCTAATAACCTACCAACATACTAACGGGGTAGGCAACCCAGGTCCTACAGAGCCGCAGTCCTGCATGTTTTCCTGCCTTGCATGAACTTGCAGCTTCTAATTGGCTGAACACACCTGATCCAAGTAACCAACAGCAGGAACAACAAAGATAGTTGGAAAGCAAGCAGGACTGCGGCTCTCTAGGACCAGAGGTGCCTACCCCTGTACTAACCTACCAAGCAGTTACACCAACCTAACCTAGCAACTTATCTAAATATTCAATATCAATAAAACAGTGGAACAACCAACCACCCATCAAACCTATGAATACTTACATTTCGACCTAAACACCCACAAACTTGCCAATCTATACATCTATCAACTGACGTGACTCAGACATGAGTGCCACCTAGTATTGTATCCATCGTAAAATGTTGTGTTTTGGTCAGGATCTCTCAGCTTTTACATTTTAAGTACGTATGTTCAGCATTTATTTTTTTACTTACGCAAATTCATTTACAGACCTATGGAACACAGCTGCATGATATTCCTGCTTTGTAGTAAACCACATCCGTCCCAGGAATGGGCTCGGGTGTTTCTGGATCACATCCTGCCTCCTACACACCCACTTCCTGCTATAAATAGTCAATGCAAATTACGCTATGAATATTCTACATTTGCATAAACCAGATTTTCAGCTGCATTCACAGGTAACCATGAAAACTGGGATGGAAACTGATGCTTTGGGAATCACATAAAATATGACAAAAAATAAAAACATTAATAAGGAGTGGTGCGCAGAGATCGCCGAGATATTCCAGATCTAAACACAACATTAATATGTAAAAGCAGGATATAAAAGTAAAATGTATGGGTAACAAAACTGAATAAAACAGAATAAAAAAATTGATCAAATGTCTAAACACGCTGAGTGAGAGAACGCCACAGAATAAAAGTCAGTCTTCACTCGACTCTTAAAAACCGCGGTGAAGGTGCTTGTCTGACCTCGAGTGGACGGTTGTTCCTCTGCTTAGGGGCCAAGATGGAGATAACCCTGCCTCCTCTAGTGGAGAATTTTAACTGCGGAATGACTAGTAAGTCTTGCTGTGATGACCTAAGTGCACGTGAAGGGCTGTACCGAGTGAGTAACAGATGGAGCACAGCCCAGCAGAGACTTAAATTTACACAAGAGTATCAGTAGCTCAGAAGGTGGAGTGGGCTGTCCAGTAATTGCAAGGTTGTAGGGTTGATCCTGGCTCCCAGCAGAGAGCACTGCTGTTGTGTCCTTGGGCAAGACACTTAACCCACTGTCTGCTGCTGCTGGTGGTCGGAGGGGTGCTATGAATGACAGACTCGCTTCCATCAGTGTGCCCCAGGCCAGCTGTGGCTACATTGTAGCTCATCATCACCAGCATATGAATGTGCTGATGACTGTGTTGTGAAGCGTCTTGGAGGGTTGTAGAACCATAGAAGGCACTATACAAATACAGGCCATTTACCATTTACAAGAAATATCTTAAATATATATATATATATATGTATGTATATGTGTGTGTGTGTGTGTGTGTGTGTGTGTGTGTGTGTGTGTGTGTACAAAAAACGCAGCACTTTTGCTTTTGCTCCAATTTTTCATGAACATTTCCTTTACACACAAAATACCCATTAATCTCAAATATTGTACTCTAATGTTCCCACCTCACAGGTGTGGCATGTCGAGGTGCTGATTAGACAGCATGAATTTTGCACAGGTGAGCCTTAGACTGGCCACAACAAAAGGCCACTCTGAAATGTGCAGTATGGTCACACCGCACAGCGCCTCAGATGTTGCAATGTTTGAGGGAGCGTGCACTTGGCATGCTGACAGCAGGAATGTCTACCAGATTAAATTGTTGTTCCTCTCTACCATAAGCCATCTCACACGGCTGTATAGAGTTTCAACATTCCTGAGGTCCACCATCCATTTTACCGTGCACATTAATTAAAAGGTAGAGACCAAACTGAAGACCAAAACTAAAGTGATGTGTGTGGTTGTGTGTGTATCGTCACTCTGAACTCACATGATCACCTGTCTCTCCTGACAAGTCCAATACATCCACCGTCCTTAGACTGTCTTTATGTCTGAATTGATTTTATTCTTTATTAATGGAAAGACCCTTTAGATGTAGAATCTCTTTTTCAAAGGGGTCCATCATTTTAGATTTGACCCACTGAAATATTTATGTAAAAAAACACAAATGTAAATGTATTCTATTGTTCTGGCTTTTGAATGCCTTCATTTGGCTCATAGTATAGTGAGTCTGAATGCCATGGTAAATCCTCCAGATTGTATGAAAAGTCTGATGTATATTTTATATTAAATGTTAAATTGTAATTTAAACAAACTTAAACTCAAATTTCTATAAACTATTTGGGTCATACCTGAATTTCACACTTCATCAGGCTTACATGACCAACATTTACGGGCCAAAACTATTCCATAGTTTATGGGAGGGGAAAATATGGCAAGCAGTTTGCACATGTATCACACTGACTGGATATGTATTCTAGAAATGTGTGAGTCTATTGTTTCTAATGAAAATTAACAATCCAGAAATCTATAGTAACATTTTTCCATCCGCATGAACCCTTCAGATAGTTTAATAAAATTCTTCCTAGGACAAATTACTTTACATTTCCCATTCATGTGTATTGGGTTTTCTGCAACTCCTATCCACAAGTACAGTCTTCCCATCTGGAATGGGCAATGTGGACCAGAAACTGATCTCTTATAGGAGAAACATGTTTCTTACAATTTGTTTACCTTCTCAGTGGCCTATTGGTAGCATGTTCGCCCTGAGACTGGGAGATTGGGGTTCAAATCCTGGTCGGGTCATACCAAGGACCTTAAAAATTGGATGCAATACTTCCCTGTCTAATAATTTTCCTCCTTCCCTCTTAATAATCAAGCTCCATCATACATCAGTGACCTGATTATTTCATATGTTCAAAATAGAGCACTTTGTTCTCAGACTACAGGTTTACTGGTGGTTTCCAGAATATCTAAAAATAGAATGGGAGGCAGATCTTTTAGCTATCAGGCTCCTCTTTTGTAGAACCAGCTCCCAGCTTTAGTCCATGAGGCAGACACCTTGTCTAATTTTCCACCTTTGGAATATTGCTATGATTAGAAGCATCCTTTCCAGGAGTGATGCTGAAAAATGAGTTCATCAGGGCACGGGCGATGAATCACAGTTTGTGGCTCTTTTGGAGGACTCCACTCAGCTGTCAGATGGCTCAGCCTGGGGAAAGTGCTGAAGAGGGTTTGGGACTTGAAAGCAGAGAGTCAAGAGTTTTGCGAGAGGAAATGCAAAGACATTCCAGAGCTCTCAGATGAGGACTGGATGGCAGATTTTGCATTTGCTGTTGATGTGACTGCATTGATGAATGAACTGAACACCAAACTGCAAGGCAAGGGCCTTTTCGTTCATGAAATGCACAGCCTCGTGAAGGCCTTCATGAGAAAGCTGCAGTTTCTTTCAAGTGAACTGGAGAGCAACACTCTCACTCGCATGCAAACCCTGAACGAAGTCACACCATCAGCTGATCACCTCAGCAGGTA